CGTAGGAAACATCCTCATCAATGTCCACATCAACCCAACTCAAAATGTGAGATGGATCTGGCTCGTACTTCCGTAACATCGATACATGGAAAACATTGTGGACCCTATCCAACTGTGGTGGCAAAGCAAGCCTGTAGGCAACCTCTCCTACTCGGTCCAAAATCTCAAATGGTCCAATAAATCGTGGTGACAACTTGCCACTTTTTCCGAATCTCATCAATCCCTTCCGTGGAGAAACCCGTAGAAAAACGTGGTCTCCCACCTCAAAGGATAACGGTCGTCTCCTCTTATCCGCATAGCTCTTCTGTCGGCTCTGAGCTGTAAGCAGCCTCTGTCTTATCAACTTAATCTTCTCAGTAGTCTCGAGTACAATGTCGGGTCCTAAGGCGGCTGTCTCACCTACCTCAGTCCAACAAACAGGAGACCTACAAGGTCTACCATACAACGCCTCAAATGGAGCCATCTGGATGCTCGCCTGATAACTGTTGTTGTAGGCAAACTCAATAAGTGGAAGGTGATCCTCCCAACTACCTCCCAAATCAAGTACGCATGCCCGAAGCATATCCTCCAAAATCTGTGGATGGAATGCCGTACTAAAATGCAACGCTGAACCAAACGCTACTTGAAGTCCTTCCCAGAACTTCGAAGTGAACTTAGCATCCCTATCTGACACAATGGTTACAGGAATTCCATGCAACCTTACAATCTCCTTCACATAAAGAACACCAAGCTTCTCTGCATCATCTGTTGCCTTAATAGGCAAAAAGTGAGCCGTCTTGGTTAATCTGTCAATGATGACCCATACGGCCTCATTGCCCCTCCGTGACCTTGGAAAACCTGTCACAAAATCCATAGCAATATGCTCCCATTTCCATTGCGCTACAGGTAATGGTTACAACAAACCAGCTGGCCTCTGATGCTCGGCCTTCACCTGCTGACAGGTAAGGCATCTAGCCACAAACTGTGCAACATCAATCTTCATCCCGCTCCACCAATACTGACGTCTCAAATTGTGATACATTTTAGTACCACCTGGATGAACTGCAAAACGGGAAGTGTGAAACTCCCGTAGGACATCCTCACGACAAACTGTGGGAACCACCAACAAACCCCTGAACCGTAGACCCCCATCTGCATGCAAGGCCCAATCTTTCACTGTCTCACCACTAGAGATCAAAGCGTGGATGGCATCTAAGTCCGGGTCCTGCCTCTGTGACTCAATCACTCGTACAACAAGAGTAGGCTGAGCCACAAGACTAAATAAGAATGCCGACTCACTGCAACCATCATCATCACAACACTGTAATCCCATCTCTGCCAGATCTTCAAGTATCTTCCACTTCCGAATAGCTAAGCTAGCCAAAGTTCCACGAGATTTTCGGCTTAAGGCATCAGCTACAACATTTGCCTTGCCCGGATGATATTGCAAATCAAAGTGTAATCTTCCAAGTACTCAACCCATCGTCTCTGTCTGTTGTTCAAGTCCTTTTGGGAAAAAAGGTACTTGAGACTTTTGTGATCTGAAAATACCTCGAATCTCTCACCATACAAGTAGTGTCTCCAACACTTCAAGGCAAACACAACTGCCGCTAACTCCAGATCATGAGTAGGGTAGTTAAGCTCGTGAGCCTTCAACTGTCGAGACCCATAAGCCACTACTCTACCATCCTGCATCAACACACATCCCAACCCATCACGTGAAGCATCACAATAGATCACATAACCCAAGCCTCGCTCAGGTATCACCAACACTGGAGCTGTAGTCAATCTCGTCTTCAACTCCTGAAAAGATGAATCACAGGCCTCATTCCAGACAAACTTGACCCCTTTCTGGGTCAAACGGGTCATAGGAGCTGCCAAACGAGAGAAATCCTTCACAAATCTCCGATAGTAACCCGCTAAACCAAGAAAACTGCGGATCTCAAACACATTCTTGGGTCGCTCCCAAGTCAAAACTGCTTCAACCTTTGATGGATCAACTGATACTCCACCTTCTGAAACAACTTCACCTCCTGTAGCCAAAACTCACATTTCTCGTATTTGGCATACAATCGGTGTTCCCGCAAAATCTGTAAAACAATACTCAAATGGACCTCGTGATCTTCCCGAGTCCGTGAGTACACAAGAATGTCATCCACGAAGACTACCACAAACTGGTCCAAGTAATCGTGAAAGACGCAGTTCATCAAGTCCATGAATGCCGCTGGCGCATTAGTCAAGCCAAAAGGCATAACAAGGAACTCATAGTGTCCATACCGTGTACGGAATGCTGTCTTCGGGATATCCTCATCCCTAACCCGCAACTGATAATAGCCAGACCTCAAGTTAATCTTCGAGAAACAACTGGCTCCCTTCAACTGATCAAATAAATCATCTATCCTTGGCAAAGGATACTTGTTCTTGATGGTAGCATGATTCAACTTCCGATAATCAATGCACAACCTCAACGAACCATCTTTCTTCTTAGCAAACAAGACCGGTGTGCCCCACGGTGACACACTCGGTCGGATGAAACCTTTCATCCTCAAATCATCAAGCTGCCTCTTCAATTCTTCCAGTTCAACTGGTGCCATACAATACGGTGCCATAGAAATCGACGCGGTACCTGACATTAACTCAATAGAGAACTCCACTTCTCAGTGTGGAGGCAACTCTGTCAAATCTTCTGGAAAAACATCCAAGAAGTCACAAACAATCGCCGGATAAACTTCTCCCACGACATCATCTTCTTCAGCTAAAAGGCTAGCCAAGAAGTAATCACCACGACTCCGTTTATGAATTCCATACAACGACGATGATTGGGAATCACTCCGATCTCCCGTGAAAAAGAAACAGTCTCCTTCTGGAGTGCAAACTGTAATTCTCCCTTTGAAACAATCGATCGTGGCATGAAAGAAGGCCAACCAATCTATCCTGAGAATGACATCAAAGCTAGTCATCTCCAGGAGGATAAGGTCAAACACAAAGGTTCGCCCGGCTATCACAATGGGACACTCCCGCACAATTCGGCTCAAAGACACTGAAACCCCAACTGGCGTATCAACACTCAACGCCTGTTCCAAGAAACTAACTTCCAACCCCGATGCAAGTGCAAATGATGATGAAATGAAAGAATGAGATGCACCAGAGTCAAATAAAACACGGGCCTAATAACCAAACACTGGAAATATACCTCGAAGGACTGACGGTCCAGAAGATGCATCTGTCTGTGCCAGTGCAAAAACACGTCCCTGAGGTACCTGTGCCTGAGGACTGCCAATGTGAACACCTGACTGCTGCACTGACATAGTAGGAGTATCCCTCCTAACTGATCGTGAACCCTGTGAAGACATAGTAGGTTGTGGTGGTGGTGGTCTGAAACCTGACTGAACTGTAGCCGATTGTGACGGCCTCTGCTGTGACCCTCTGCCACTAATGGTGCCTGCTCTCTGACTCGGACAATCACGAATCAAGTGACCCTGCTGGCCACACCCATAACAAGCCTTCGGAGCTAACGAAACTGAAGACGATCTCATCGGACAACTGGACTTGTAATGTCCGGGCTGCTGACACTGATAACAAACAACTGCACTCCTGTCAAATCCAGCTGGCATAGGAGTGGTAGGAGCAGATCTTGTAAACTGTTGCCCCTGAAACTGAGATGGACTGCCCCTGTTCCTTTTCCAAGAAGATCCCTCTGAGGATGGCCCTGCACCCCTCTTTTGCTTCAATTGCTCTCTTCTTACATCCTTCTCTCTATTGTCAGCCTCCAGCATCAAAGCCCTTTCCACTGTTTCAGAGTAAACCTTAATAAACTGTGCCGTGATCAACGGCCTCATTCGATCATTAAGACCCGATACAAACTTCCGAGTCTTGTTAGCTTCATCTCTCACCACTTCTGGAGCAAAACGGGAGAGTGAGGTGAACTTGTTCTCATACTCCGCCACTGACATGTTCCCTTGAATAAGATTATGAAACTGGTCTTGTAACTCCTATCTTTTGGAACACGGAAAGTACTTTTCATAGAACAGTTCCTTGAACTTGTCCCAACTCATCTCTTCAATCTTGTACTGGTTAGTGATCGACTTCCACCAAACCTTGGCATCCATAGCAAACTTGTAAGTTGCTAGGATGATCTTCAAGTGATCCTCTGTCACATCCATTGCGGTCAACTGAGTTTCGACTTGATCCATGTAGTTGTCGGCTACCATTGGATCCGCACCGCCCTCAAACATAACCGGCATCAGCTGAGAAAACCCCTTAATGATCTTGAGACGCTTCTGAGCTGGAGTCTCCTCAACTCGAGCTGTAGGTTGTGGTACCAACTGCGGCTGAGCAACAATCGTTGCCCTCACGACATTTTGCAACAAACGATTAAACTCCAGTGCCACAGAACCTTCACCCACTTCTAGGGGTACGGGTGTTTCAACATTCTCTCTTCTTGGAGGAATAGCTCTTGGGGGAATCAAGTCCCTAAGAAGCATGTTCTCATCAACTGGCTCCGCCGGATTGGAGCTAGAGCTCTCACCAACATCACCCCTTGTTGGTCTAGGGCCAACTTCTCTAGGTTCCTCACGCCGTGACATCGTGCTATAAAACGAGAAAACGATTCAGAAACATGACACTAAGGTCCACTGTGGACGACTCAACAAGAATTAATACCGTACAACACTTAGCATGCAAGACTATGCAAGAAACATTTTAACATAAACAAGTAAGCAAGTAAGCACATAGGCAGTTAAGCATGCTCATTTAAATAAGATACCACGTAGCAAGTAGTCAAGTAAGCAACACAAACAACATTCCATGCGACTCTATGTAGGCCTCTACCCGTCGTCCTAAAGGTTTTCGAACCTTTGCTCTGATACCAAATTTTGTAACGACCCTAGTTGATTCCAAGAATTTTACAAAAAAATCGGCATAACCTCCCCTAAAAATAGGCCTACCATACCCTTTTTAAATTCATTTTTGACCTATCATGGCTCAATTTCCGAATTCACGGCAACAGTATATGATCATACACAATCAAATAACACCGATAATTACTTTAACTAAAATTATCCTTCCCATTCATCAACAAGGTTACATGACAAAGTTTTGCAAAATATACATATATACCTTTATACTTTTAGTGCTTTGCAAAAATAATGGGAAATATACAAAAGACACAAAAGTGAGCTTCTAGTATCGCTCAAGCTTGAGGTGGGTTGTCGTTCATCGGTTCTTTTCCAAGACCTGAAAAAAATGTATAAATAGTAGGGTGAGCTATATGCTCAGTAGGTGACACTTAAGACACAAATCTTGTGTCCTTGTGAATTCAAGCAAAGCATAGGCCAATGGGAGATAGGGATCATACAACGTAGGGGATCAAATACAACATACAAGTCAATTCCAAATATAAACAATGCAATGCAATGAAATGAAATGCAATGCATGTCAATGACACTCCCCATTTTCATTCTCAAAACCATCACTTTCAAACGTTAATACAGCCCGCCCTTTGGTAACCCCGCCGCGACACGAGAGGAGGATTGGCTAGTGTCCCTGACCCTTGGTAACCCCGCGGCGTCATTATGGGGCCCAGCTAGCTCAACCACGCTAGGGCGACTCCCTAGTCCCCTCTAGGCTATATTAACCTCCAGCCCGTTGGTAACCCCGCAGCGACCGGGTTTCGCATAAAACCATTTTATCAAAAACACTTCCCTGAAATTCCCCATATTTATTTCAAGAACAATTTCTCCCATTTCATGCAAACCCAATGGTATGTGCATGTATATATATTCCATACATTCAATGTCATGGCATTTAAAATTTTCCATCATAAAATTAAACATTCAATATGTTCAACATCTCCCAAGTAATTATTAACACATTAAGATACAACAAAATACATTTAAGCATGTGCATGTATATATATATATGAGCTCAACATCATGAATTGGAAAATTTGGCGCAATTTAAATAAGCATACTCTCATACATCAATTTCAGCATGCTAGCACATAGTAAACATAAGAAATCAACAACTAAATATAATTTGCATATGAACCAACCATATTCAAGATCGTGAAAACCCTCTAGACATCATTAATACCATCATAGATATAATTAACTCTAAATTAAGCATATTTAATACAACATGGAGGTAAAATTCACAATAGAACAAGACTAGAGTGGATTAAGATGCCCCTACCTCAAAATAGGCAAAACCCTAGAAATTGGGTCTCTAAATTCGAAGCCCCTAGGAAGACCAAAAACTGAAATTGCTTGTATGAGCGCGTAGAGCTCGTCGCGGGCTTTGTTTTGCCTCAAACGATACTTAAAAACACAAAGAAATGAGGGAGCAATCAAGGATTGAAACCTTGAAGTGGAAAAAGGAAAAAGAAAACAGAGAGGAAGGTGGAAGCAGGCAGCTGGGAAAGAGAGAGTGAGATGCAGAAAACAAAAACACAAATGTGGTCTTAATGACCACTTTAAAACAAAATTGTGGGTCCCTCCACTAACACACATATATATAAAAATAAAAATAAAAACTTAAACATTACATATTTCTTTACATGGGTGTATATATTTTAAAAATGATTTTTTTTATTTTTATTATTTTTATTATTTTATATTCTTTTACAAAATTGGCATAATGGGGATCCAAATCCATCCCAATGTTTTACCGTCATTGATTAGTTTTTGTTAGGTTAGAGGATTATTGGTTAGTTTAAAGAGGTCACGAGATGACAGTTTTAATTGGGGCGTAAAATAGGTGATTGTGAGGCCAGGCCATGGATGGGAGGTTCGGAGATCAGAACCGTCGGAAGCAGATTCATCAGCTGTCGTGAGTCAACAGGATCTGATGGGGCAGATTCATCAGCTCACTTGCTGCATCAAATACAATAGGCCTTCCTCTGTTTATCACCACTTCAAGCCCAAACCAACTAGGAAATTCTTTCTTTTACCCCATGTCTCTCTCCACTCTCTCTATATGTAAACACAATATATATATCCCAGTCAAAAAGAGTTAGGTTGCATGTCACTATCATGAATCATGTGCCATAGACACGAAAGTCAAAGAGCCTGTGAAAATTCTGGAATTGAAGAATTCATTTCTTCAATAACCGCTGATGATGATAAGGTTCTATCATTCTCATTTCTAATCACTCACACATTTCCAATGGATACACAGAACTCTCCACCTGCTGCAGGATGGGATTATGAAGTGTTCTTGAGTTTCCGCGGTGATGACACTCGTAAAACCTACAACAACCTTGTGGACGCAGGAATTCGCACGTTTAGAGATGACAATGAGCTTCGCATTGGAGAGAAGATAGGTTCTGATCTTCTAAAGGCAAAACAACACTCAAAGATATCCATCCCAGTCTTTTCCAAAGACTATGCTTCAAGTAAGTGGTGCCTACTTGAGCTCACCGAGATGGTTGAGTGTAAGAGGGCTTCGGGGCAAATGATATTACCCATATTCTATGACGTCGAACCGTCCCATGTGCTACACCAGACCGGGAGTTACGAAAAGGCCTTCCAGGAACACAAGAAGCATTTTTGTAGTGCTACTGTGGAGGGGTGGAAGGAAGCCTTGAGGGAGGTTGGAGAATTGAAGGGATGGGAAGTTGCTGATAGGTAATTGTGTATATTTACTTATATATACTGATTCTGCTATTTTAACTTCTCTGATTATTTTCCTTTAATGTAAACTTGTTTGGTTCAGTTTTCTCAAATTAGACACTTAATTTACAAATCGTTAATCAAATAAATTTTGAAACGACTTTCTATGTATTAGTTTTATGAGAATAGGCCATATATATTTATCTTTTTTCCCATATATATGTGACATCAATTATGTTTGGCAGGCATCAAGGAGAACTGGTAAAGAGGGTTGTTTTAGAGGTGTGGGGAGAGCTGAAAAAGAACTCTTTGGTTGTAAATGAACACTTAGTTGGAATTGATGATCATATAGAAGAAATGATGAAATTGTTGAGTGTTAATTATAGTGATGTAAGGATTGTAGGAATCCATGGCATGGGAGGAATTGGCAAGACCACTATAGCCAAGGTCATCTACAACCAACTCTCCCAACATTTTGAATCCTGTTGCTTCCTTGCAGATGTTAGAGAAACAGCACAACAACCGAATGGTCTTGTTCATTTGCATAACCAACTCATATCTAACATTTTAAAACAAAAATGCATTGACATTAGTACTATGGATGAAGGTATTAATGTAATCAAAGATAGATTTTCTGGGAAGAAAGTTCTTGTTGTAGTTGATGATGCCAATCAAAGAATTCATCTTGATGCGCTTGTGGGAAAGTCTGATTGGTTTGGTCCGGGAAGTAGGATAATTGTCACAACTAGAAACAAACATATTTTACATCTGACCGAGGTCAGTTGGACTTATGAACCAAAGGAATTGGATACTAATCAATCTCTTCAACTTTTCAGCAGACATGCTTTTAGAAGGGGCAACCCCCCAGAAGACTATGATACTCTCTCTACAGATGTTGTGTCCACTACTGGAGGGTTGCCTTTGGCTCTTGAAGTTATCGCTTCTTTTTTATCTGGCATGGGAAAAAAGGAATGGCAAGATACATTAAAGAAGTTGAAAAGAATACCAAATGATCAAGTGAAGGAGAAGCTGAGGATAAGTTATGAAGCATTAGAACATGAACAACAACAGATATTTCTTGATATTGCATGTCTTTTCATTGGAGTGGATAGAAGAATTGCTTTCCACATGTGGGATGACTGCCATTTTTATCCGGAGAATGGGATTGAAGTTCTTCTTCGCCTGTCATTGGTGAAAATTGGAGATACGAATGATCTAATGATGCATGACCATCTTAGAGACCTTGATAGGGAAATTGTCCGTCAAGAAAATTTTAAGGAGCCAAGGGAGCGTAGTAGGGTGTGGCTTCTTGAGGAAGCCTGTGAAATATTGGAGAGTCATACAGTAAGATCCAACTCTTTCATGAATAGATGTCCTTTATTAAGCATTAATTTTCTTCTCACCTTACTAATACAATCATGTATGAACAAGCAATGCTGGCTCAATCGCTCGGCCAATTGGCCGGTTGCCTAAGGCCCCTCAGTCGAAATGTCATTATAGTCTTTTTAAAGTAGGCCCCACCATAGGTTTTTTCATCTGTTAGTATGCATTCTCTCTACTTTGGCCTATTTTAGCAGTTCTTACTTTCACAAATAGGCCTAACTAGTCAGCCTCAATATCATAACTCTTTTTCAGTTTTCCTTAACTTACGGTTCAATTATATATATCAAACTCATGTCTTTCAATATTCTTCTAAACTTCGTCTAATGTTTTGATTTGATTGAGCATATTAGAAAATTCTTTATCTTTTCGAAGTGAGAAAATCTTGCATTCTAAAATTAATAAATTTTCTTGAAGTTATAAAAGAGATGCGGAATTTGTAAAAAATTCAAACTCCAGTAACACTTGAAATCAATTTTTTAATGATTTGCATAAGGCTAGTTGTATTGTTACTTTAAAATTTCTTTTTAATCTTCCTGTAATCCTATAAATATATTTACTTAAAAATGTGAATTTGGATTAATAAAAATTTCTAAAAAGAAAGGGTTAGGTAAATTAATTCCATTTTTTTTTAAAAAAAAGGAGATCTTGTAAGAATAATCAAAATATTACAAAAAAAAAATTAGATAAAGATTTAGTAAATAAACAACCAAGTTTTCTAACAATATTACTAATTTTGCGTCTCAAGAAGCAAGAATAATGGTCTATATATATATATATATAGTTACTCCGTATTTAATATTAGTGATGTTAGTACATGAATATTTTTTTCCTTAAATGTGGTGATTTCCATTGCACAAATTCCGATGCACTAGCACTCTCCACAGCCTAAACCAGCAAGAACAATTACAAGTCTAAAACTGATGTACAAATTCATCAAAGGAACAATATTCATAATCTCAAATATAACAGCTCTTGCAGTCTCCACAGCAGTCCTGTTGCAATTCCGATGCGCTCTGACATTCCTTTCTCTCCAAATGGTAGTTGAGAAAAGCATACGAAAAAGAGCTGAAGCAGCTTGTTGTTCACCCCGTAACATAAGATGGCTTTGCTGGAACCGAATATTCTCTTGTATACAGTTATGACAAACCGAATATTCTCTTGTATTGCTTTAGGCCTCAACTTATATCGAGTTGCCCCTGCTACAAATTTTAAATAATAACAGGAATTTCCGCAAATAGAGCAATAGCATCATTAGTACTAGTTGTTGTGTCCACTATAATTATACCATTGATGATATATATATATATATATATATATATATATATATTTACTTATATTAAGGTTTTCTTTTGGCAGGGAACAAGAAAGATTGAAGCTCTTTGTGTTGACTTTCAATTAGAGTCACAGGCATGCCATTTTACAAATGAAGAAATTTTAGACCTATCTGAAGTTGCCTTCGACATATTGGAGAGTTATACAGTAAGATCCAACTCCTTCATGAATAGATGTCCCTTATTAAGCATTAATTTTCTTGTCACCTTACTAACACAATTATGTATGAATTACTCAAAAGTTGAAATAATAACTAGAATTTCCTCAAAGAGAGTGAATATCATCATTAAAAAAAAAAAAAAAAAAAAAAAAAACAGAAGAAGACTGAAGGTGACTTTCAATTTGGGTTACAGGCGTGCTGTTTTACAAATGAAGGATTTGCAGACCTATCTAAACTTAGGTTCCTTCAAGTTGGCTATGCAAACCTGGAAGGAGATTTTAAGGGTCTTCTTTCAAATTTAAGATGGCTTTGCTGGAACGGATGCCCTCAAACTTTTAGACCAACCAATTTTCATCTAAAGAATCTGGTCATTCTTGATATATCATGGAGCAATGTCACGGAAGACTGGGAGGGTTGGAATCATATCAAGGTTTCATGAATTTCTCTGCTTCTGTTTCGTGTGTGTCATCACATAATTCTTTGTAATTGATTCTATGCAATTCTCTTTTTCCTTATTTCGCAGATGGCAAGAAAGTTGAAAGTTCTAAATCTCACAGGTTGCAGATACATGGTTAGAACTCCCGACTTCTCTGCATATGAAACTTTAGAAATATTGATTCTTGAAGACTGTATTAATTTGGTTCGTATTGACCCATCAATTGGATATCTCAAGAGTCTAGTTTTCTTAAATGTGAAGAATTGTTATCAACTCAAAAGTCTGCCTCTGGAATTTGATTCTGTGGAAGCTTTAACAGAGCTCATCATCGATGATACTTCAATAGAAGAAGTCCCCATAGGTAGAGGTGTTTTGAAGGAGCTTGAAACTCTTAGTGCCACTGATTGTCAGTCATTGACTCAAATTTCTACCTCAATTGGTCACCTAAAATCTCTGACACACCTTAGACTTGATCATTCACGTATCGCTGAACTACCATACTCAATTGGTTCGCTAGTGAAATTGCGATGCTTGTCACTAAGAAACTCCTTATTAAAAGAACTTCCAGACTCCATTGGGAAATTAGAATCATTAATTGAGTTGTGCTTGTCAAATACGATAATTACAGAATTACCTGACACCATTGGCAACCTAAAACGTTTGAGAATTCTTGACATTGATTATTCTTTGATAGAAAAGTTACCTAGTGCCATCGAAACGTTACTGAAACTTGAAGAGTTACATGCCTCGAATTGTCTCAATTTGGAAGGCAAAATTCCCAGTAATTTTGGTGGACTATCCTCTCTGAGAATCTTAAGATTAGATTCAACACGTATCTGTAGTCTACCATCAAGCATTTGTGGGCTTTCTCACCTCCAAACCCTTGATTTAGAGGGTTGCAGAGAGCTTCAGTTTGTCCCAGAGCTTCCCTCTAGTCTAGTGAGTCTAAAAATCACTTGCACGTCAATGGAGACATTTCTAAACCTTTCTAGTAAACCTAAAGGAGTTGGAATTTCATGAATGCTCTGAGCTGTTGAAAATTCATGAAGATATTGGGAAGTTAGCCAAACTGGAGACCTTGACCTTGTCCAGCTGTATCAACGTTAGCAGCCTGCCAATGGAGCTTGGTGCACTTTCTCGGCTCAAGGAACTCGCTATTCAATATTGTGACCAACTTCAATGCCTTCCAACTCTTCCCTCAAGTCTAATCATACTCCGTCTTGAATATTGTCGGTCAATAAAGAGGTTGCCAGATCTATCAAATTTGAAAAACTTATCAGAACTAAAACTCCACTGGTGTTCAGAGTTAACAGAGATTCAGGGCCTTGGAAGATTAGAACTCCTACGATATTTGGATTTATATGAGTGTGAATCACTAGTAACATTACCGGATCTTTCCAACTTGAAGAAGTTAAAGGAATTTAGTGACTTTGGATGCAAGAATTTGAATGAAATTAGGGGCCTTGACGGATTGGAGTCCTTGAATATATAAAAATGTGTGAGCGGAAATGTTGAAAGAATTATACCTTACCTGGTGCCAGAATCTACATGAGATTGAGGGAGATTGAGGGTCTTAAGGGTTTGAAATCCTCGAAGTTGCTGGACTTGTCATATGCACAGCATTGCGGAGGATACCTGATCTGTGACCTGTCGGGACTAACAAATTTAGAGGAATTGCGACTTCTTAACTGTGAGAAACTTAGTGAGATTTGGGGACTTAAAGAACTGAAATCCTTAAGATTCTTGGACATTTCTGGATGCAAGTCACTAGGAAACTTACCAGACGTGTCGAACTTCTGTCGTCTGATAAGTTCTAGTGTTTAACATGCAAACTGATGGCATGGTAATTATCTATTTTCTGCTAATCTATGATGTCTTTGTATGATTTTTTTTTCCCCCTTTATTGATTGATAACTGTGATTGTTTCTCTGTTCTCTCTTTTTGTGCATGTTCATCTATTAGGGCGTAGTCGCTCTTTGTCAACTCCCCATTATTTCACCTTCCTCTAGAACTCTTCCACTTTGAGATGATTTCGAGACTGTGGCCCAGTTTGAAGTGAATGGATTCATAGAGACAACGTTTCATAATTTTTGCGGATGTCAGGGCTCAATTTCGCCACTGAAGCTTGATTTCAGAACTTCGAGACGCCATTTATCTGTTGGGGCTCCATTTCATGCATTCGATCAATCTCTGAACTTAGAGAGACAATCTTTACTTGAGGTAATCCAATACCTTTGCAATAGAATGGTGAATTGATTATTTTGATATTTAAGTTGGTTTCTTAGTTAGGGCTTGAGGTCAATATTTACAGAACAATCTTCAAAGCTAAAGGAATTGAATTTTTTTTTTTGTAAAATTTGTTTTCGTTCTTAAAGATGCTTGGATCCGGAATTTTTGGCACATATTAAAGAAAAAAAAAAAAAAATTCCCGGAGGTATTTTACTTGCCTTAATAACTGCTAATGTGTAGAAATTTTGATATTTGATATGCTCAAATATTATATATACCAACAAGTCCTCAATTCTGGTTTGAGAGCTTCAATTTCTGCTTCTACGGGTAAAACTGTGATGTTTCCAAATTTTCGCTATTTTTTTATTTTTTCAGAAATTTTGTCGTAGCGAGGGCATTTTTGTCTTTTCACGTTGTGCGTATCGGACACCGTGAGGTGTGCCAGGTGTGTCGGTGAGTTGTTTGGAACATTTCATTGAGTCCAAAACTCCTTGAAATGTAAAGGTGATCATTTTTGCATTTTTCAGCTTTTCAGGTCGAACGGATCCGTGTGGGACCCATTACCAGTATTGTTATGTACGGGGATTTTAGTTGGGTCCATTTGCATTATATTTATTTTTATTTATTGTGTTTTAAGTGGTTAAAAATTAAATGAGTACATATGTATATGTGTGGTGTAGATTAAAAGATTAAAAAAAAAAAAGAGAAAAGAAAAATTGAGTGAGACCCACCTTATTACATTTTATGTAATAAGCCAAAGTGGTCATTACCAGACCTCAGCTTCTTTCTCTCTCCCCGCGGCGGCTGCTTCCCTTTTTCCTCTCTGCTTTTCTATTTTTTTTTTTCATTTCATAACTTCAATCTTTAATTACTTCTCAATCATTTGGAGATTTTTGATGCCGTTTACGGCAAATCGAAGCCCACGACGAGATCTTCAAATTCATACCAGCAATTTCAGCTTTTGGCCACTCTAGGAAGTCCGAAAATTTAGACCCATTTTGAGGGTTTTTGCATCCTAAGGGGTAAGGGTCTCTAATTCCCATTTTTCTTGCACCTTTGTGAATTTTCTACTATAATTCATGTTAAGTATGTTTAATTTGAGTTCATTATTATTTTTTTTTAAAATTGATTTACTTAGGTATGTGAAGCATGTTATTGGGTGTATTATTGGATTTGTATAGAAAGCATATTTAAATGTTAATTTTCCATGCTTATTATATTATTGAATTGGCTAGAAATGATATATGGAAACTTAGGGAAATTTCCTTAGAATTACTTGTCATGCTTCATTATTGATTTCTATATGTTATTGTGTTGATAAAATTGCTGAAAATGATACATAGAAGCTTATGGAAATTTTCTAAGAATTATTGTAAAGTATGCTTAATATGTTAATTTTTCCATGCCTATGATGCTTAATAATTTATTGAAAATTTTATGTGGAAGTATGTTAATTATGTGATAATAATTCTCTCCATTTTCATAATATTAAAGAGACATGTGATATGCATTCATAGCATGGGCATGAAAAATGGTACAATGATTTGATAAGAATGAAAAAGGGGATTTTTTGGGAGAATTTGATAAAACGGTTTTGAGAAAACCCGGTCGTCGCGGAGTCACCAAAGGGCCGGTGTGTTAATATAGCCTAGAGGGAACTAGGAAAATTGTCCTATCGTGGTTGAGCTATCTGGGCCTAAAATGACGCCGCGGGGGTACCAAGGGTCGGGACAGTAGCCAATCCTTCTCTTATGTCGCTGCAGAGTCACCAAAGGACGGGTTATATTAACAGTTTGTGAAATGATGGATGTTTTCTGAAAATGGGGAGTGACATGCATGATATTGCATTCATGGCACGACATTTACTTGTTTTGAACTTGCAATTGATATTGTATTTTCCCCGACTTAGCATGACCCCGTTCCCTATTGTCCTATTCATTATTTGGATTCACGGGGCTACAAGAGGTGTGTCTTAGGCACCACTTACTGAGCAATTTTGCTCACCCCTCAGGACACGGATGGCAAGTGGCGGACGACACTCCTCTACAGGGTTCGATGGGTTAGTAGACCATTTCGACACACTTTGTAGATATAATCTCATTTTATTATTTATTTATTTATTATTATTATTTTTTATAAGCCCGGAATGACACGTATAATATGTATTGACGTAGGAAAGAATGGTGTTGTCCCTAGTTGACCTCGGGTTCGGTTAAGGCCCCGGCTAACGGTTCGGACCTACGGGTTCGGGTCGTTACAAAAACACACTCTGTAGTAAGGTCTAATGTCTTTATATAATCTAGGAGATTCTAGGTACAACTTAATTAAATTGTATTATTTGAACCATATTTTAAATTTTGATGCTAAAAATAAAAAAATGAACTCAAAAGAAAAGCTCATATTTGATGAGATGGTTGTTCTTTTATTAGTTTGTCAAGCTAAAAAAATTGTATGGGTTGCATTTATTTTGCTAGAGCTTAAGCGCTTAAGCACCTTTTTTTGCAACTAACAGGAACTCAAATGCAAAGAGATATGTTAGTACGCAGTTGGTCAGAAATCAGACCAGCAAAGCATCAATTATTCAATTCCACCACCTAAATAAGATCAATATAAGTTCCTTGCGCCGTTAAGGTCCTCTGGTTTCAGAGTTCTCTCATTGGTGAGAGTTGGTGCGTCTTGCTACTGCTTTCGTTTTGCTCGCGCATTTGGGATGTTTTTTTGTTCCGATGTGCTGTGGGTTGGTTGTCCCATCCGTTTGATGTGGTGATCAGCTGTGTGGTTTTGTTCTGATTTTGGATGTTCTGGCCGGGGATTCTTGCGACGCTTCCTTGTGCTGGGCTGATTTGGGGGGCTCGTCGGCTAGGTTTGCTGGTTGTTGGTTACTTGTGCCTTTGTTGTGTCAGGGGTTTGTCTAAGGGGTTGTTCTTGTCCTGATCTGTCTTACTTCCCTCAGTTTTCTTTTTAAACGGTTTTTGTTATTCCGGAGCTTTTGGTTTGATTTGGGCTCGGCTGGTGTGGATCGTGCGGTGTCGGCGCTAGTTCTGTTCTGGATTGTTGGTTAGGCGGTGTTGATTTTATGGTTATCCGGTGTGGCCACGTGGTGTATTGTGGTTCATCCATTTTGGGTTGCATTGTGTGCTTAGTGGTTCACATGTTGTGTGGATTGGGTTTTTGACTGTTGGGCGGTAGAGGTGTGTTCTTGGGTCTTGTTACTGGATTGTCCCATTTTGTTTGGTCTTTGTGACCTACTGATCCAGGCCCTACTCTATTGCAGGTTCAATTTCAGGTGATGGCTCACGGGTTTTTGCCTTCAACTCGTGATTCTTCTTCCCGGAGCAGTGTTAATGCTTCGTCCGGTTAGGTACCTACCATTTCCTCTTCTTTTGCTTCGTCTTCTACTGTTCCACCTGTCTGTTTTTCTGATTTCCATAATGCTTGTCCCAACATTATTGTTTGGAATTGCTAAGGTCTGGGGTCTGTTTCTACTGTTCAGCAACTTAAACATCTTAAAACTCAATATGCTCCAGATATTCTTGGTGTTCTTGAAACTAAAAATTTGAGGCGGACTTTGGTTGTTCAAAAGTTGTTGGGCTTTTCTAATGGGTGTTTGGTTGAGCCTGATGGAATTGTGGGTGGTCTTGCCCTTTGGTGGACTGATAATGTTCAGTTGCAGGTGGTGGATTAAACCAGTTTTTCTATTACTACTGTTGTTCTGTCTCCTAACCAGCTACCTTGCTATATGCTAGTACAGTAGATCGGGTACGAGCTTTGCAATGGGAGTATTATATTCATAGTGCTCGACATTGGTCCGGTCGGTGGGTTCTCATTGGTGATTTTAATGATATTTTACATATTTCTAAAAAGCATAGAGGCCGAGTTAAGCAAGGATGGCAGCTTCGGTCCTTTCGTACCCTGCTTGATCGTTATGCTTTGTTAGATATGGTTATGTGGGGTTTCCTTTTACCTGGTCTAACCAGAGAGACGGGCCCGCTAATATTCAAGAACGGTTGGATCGTGCGTTGGCGCTAAGGATTGGATATTTGCTTTTCCTCAGGCTCAATTATCTCATCTTTCTGTGATAGGCTTTGATTATTTTGCTTTGCTTCTTGTAATTTTGCTTAAAGCTCAGCCTCGGAAAAGGCAATTTCACTTTGATGCTCGCTGGACATTATTAGATGATTGTAGGCACATTATTGATTCGGTATGGTCTACTCCGATCAGTGGTTCTGCTCAATTTCAGTGGGCTCAGAAATTAAGGCACTGTAAAGCTAATCTCATTCATTGGGCTAAGCTTCGTAATCTTAATTCCCGAGCTCACATCAATCGTACGGTTGCCATGCTTCGCGAGCTGAGGGCTCGCACTTCTAATTACTGTCATGCGGACGTGGTTCAATTAGAAAATTATTTAACGTCATGCTGGTTAGAGGAAGAATTGTTTTGGAAACAGAAGTCTCGTCTCCTTTGGTTGCAAGAGGGGGATCGTAATACCAAATTTTTTCATGTCACTGCTAAAAGGCAAAGAAGCCATAATACTATTTCAGGGGTTTTTGATGCTGGGAATCAGTGGGTGGTTGATGAGACCGCCGTTCAGTCGGTATTTCTAAGTTATTTTCAAGGTTTGTTTCAGTTGTCCCATCCTTCGAATGTTGCTCAATTTATGCAGTATGTTCCTGTCTGGATTTTTGCTGAGATGAATGGCAACCTTTTGTTGGCCCCGTCGGAGCTAGAAGTGAGGCAGGCTGTTTTTTCTATGCAACCGATGAAAGCTTCGGGGCCGGATGGGATGACACCGCTGTTCTATCAGAAATATTGGGAGGTAATTAAACGGGATATTGTTGGGGCTGTATCTAGTTTTTTTGCTACGGGGAATTTTTTATCCAGTTTTAATTATACTAATATAGTTTTAATTCTTAAGATTTCCTCTCCAACGCAAGTTAGTCATTACCGACCGATTTCGTTGTGTAATGTGTCTTATCGAATTATTGTGAAAATTATGACTAACGGATTGAAAGGGATCATTGTCTCCCTTATCAGTGAATCCCAAAGTGCATTTGTTACAGGTCGTCATATTACCGATAATATTTTAATTACTCACGAACTTTTACACTATTTAAAAAATAAGCGTAAGGAGTGCAAAGCGTGGTTGGCATTGAAACTTGATATGAGTAAAGCTTATGATCTGATTGAGTGGGATTTCTTATTTCACATGCTGTCTCGGCTGGGTTTAAATACCCATTGGATTTAAATGATCACAGCTTGCATCTCCACAGTTTCTTACTCTTTAAAAATTAATGGGACTTCAGTGGGTTTTTTCCTCCCATATAGGGGTCTGCGTCAAGGCGATCCTTTCTCACCTTATTTATTATCTATGCTGAAGCTCTTTCTCTTGCTATTTTGCGAGCTCAGCAAACTCGGTTGTTATCTGGTATTCGTATTTGTCGGGGCACTCCGTCTGTTTCTCATCTTTTTTTTTGCTGATGATTCTGTTGTGTTGTATGCTGCAGTTCCAGAGGAAGTTTTTGTTCTGAAACGTATTTTGGCAGATTATGAACGGGCCTCTGGGCAACAAGTATATTTTAGTAAATCATCTGTTTTTTTCTCGCATAATGCTTCTGGGTCACTGCGTCGTTCTCTTAGTCGCTCTTTGGGATTGCAGCTGCAGGGTTTTAATAGTCGGTATCTTGGGGTGCCGGCTATTTTGGGACGCTCCAAGCGGGATGTGTTTCAATTTTTATTAACTAAGATCCGGGACAAGCTATCTTTTTGGAAGGCAAAAGCCCTGTTCACGGGTGGGAAGGAGGTGTTGATTAAGGCAGTGTTGAGTGCTTTACCTACATATGTAATGTCCTCTTTTAAGCTTCCCACTACATTGTATCAAGATTTGATGAAGCATATTCATTCTTTTTGGTGGTGCAATAAGGATAAAACTCGAGCAATTCATTGGATTCATTGGGATCTCCTTTGCCGGAGTAAGACTTTGGGTGGTCTTGGGTTTCGCGATCTGGAGGCTTTCAATTTAGCTCTTTTAGCAAAGCATGCTTGGCATTTTCAAGTTCAGAAGCAAAGGCTGGTGTATCAGCTTAATAAGGCTAAGTATTTTCCTTCTTTATCATTTTTGGTTGCTTCTTTGGGATCCAATCCTTCATGGGGTTGGCGTAGTATTTGGTCTGCTCAGGCTTTGTTACGTCAGGGAGTCCGATCCTTGATTGGGAATGGCACATCCACGCATGTTTGGAACGATCATTGGGTCCTTACGCTTCCACACAAACTTCCCCCACCTCCAGATCCTGCTCTGTTCTCTTATGTGGCAGAGTTGATTGATCCTGCTATGTCTTCGTGGAAGGTGGAAGTTTTGTCTCAGTTTTTCCCTCCCCTTACGGTGCAGGAAATTCTCAAAATTTGTATTAGTCGGTGGGATAAACCGGATGATGTCATTTGGAATCCAGAGCGGTCGGGTAAGTTTTCAGTGCGGTCTGCTTATAAATTGGCCATTTCCATGTCTAATTTTTCGGGAGTGGCTTCTTTTACTGGTGCTTGGTCTTCTGTTTGGCGGTGCCGTACTTTGTCTAAGGTGCAATACTTTATTTGGATATGTTGTCTTCATGCTTTGTCGGTTTGTGTTGCTTTGTTGGATCGCGGGTGTGAGGTGTCGCCTTTCTGCCCTCGCTGTGGTGTGCAGGAGGAGTCTGTTGTGCATCTTATTTTTTCTTGCCCTTATTCCATTCAAGTGTGGAAATTATCTCCGATGTGTCTTGATTTTTCGAATTCTTGTTTTTCTTCTTTCTGGGCTGGATGGAGATTTCTGGTGCATAGGGCTATGATCTCATCGGAATTTGCGGATATTCTTAGTTTGATTTCCTTTTGTGTTTGGGGTATTTGGAAGGCCAGGAATCTGTTGGTCTTTGAGGGGATTTTATGGCGGCCTGAGGTTGTGGTGTAAAAGGCTGTCGCCAGTTTTTGGGAGTTTCGGGATGCTCGGTTTCTTTGTTCTTCCTTGCCGCTAGGTCCGACCAACCCCTTTGTTGATTCGTGGCGTCCTCCTCCATCTGGTATTGTGAATTGCAATTTTGATGCTTCTTTTTGTCGGCAGTCCTTGCAGGGGGGTGGTGGCGCTGTGTTCCGTGATTTTCGGGGTGATGTGCTTCAAGCGATTATTTTTCGTCCCTTTTCCGATTCTTCATCTCTGGCGGCGGAATCGTTGGTGTGTCAGTGTGCTATTCTTTGTGCTTTGGATTTAGGATTTTCTTGCTTATAGTTTGAATCGGAAGCCAAAATTGTTGTGGATGGGGTGTTGCGAGGAGCAACCTGTCCGTCGGAAATTGCTTCTATATGTTATGACATTAATCGGGACCTAAGGTAGTTTTCGTCTACTACTCTACTCATGTATGTCGCTAGGGTAATAATAATAATAATAAATTAAAAAAAAAATTAAAAAAAAAAAACAGGAACTCAAATGCTGTTATATACTCCATTGTTGAAGCCTCGATATTCTTTATGTTAATTCAACTTTAAAGACAGCAAGTCAACCCTCATTGATCTTGTATTAACCACATTCATGGTAAGCAATACCACATTGCAAATGAAATTTGCACTAATACTTTCTCCAAGTTTCCACTCCTAGGCAAATTTGAAGAAATGAAATGTCATAATTTCTTGATCAGTAAAAATTTCTTGATTATTAGAAATTGATAGTAGTCTTTATTTTTTAGGTCGTACCTTTTGTTTATTATTACATGTTTTTAATCCAGATATACAGGTATGCATGATTTGAAGGAAAATGCAAGTCCGGCTGGAAAAATGACTGCAGATAGGGAGATTGAAATAGAGTATGGTCTCTAACATCATTCAGGTAGGTACCTGATAATCTCTTCTTTCATTCATTCTCTCTCTCAACATGTGAAGTTCTATAGCAACGACAATTAAGAACATTGTATCATTTAGATTAAAGTCTCAAACTGCTTGAATGGTTTTTGGAAATGTTAGAAATAACTCTGCTAGTAACTAACGTCAAACAATGAGATTTCAAGTGCATAAAACCAATCGAGGGACAATTATGAGTGGAAGTATTAACACTCTTATGATATACTAAATCGCAACATTGATCGAAAGACGAGCTCCATAAATCCTCAATCAATTGTTTTGTTATATATAAATATACATCAAGTCTATTTTTTTGCAGTTGGTCAGGGACTTTTTCAGATAGGTTTTAGCAGGAAAGCAGACCCAAAGCCTTGGAGATGCAGAGCAACGGATGGGAAAAAATGAAGTGCTGAAAGGAAGCATACCCAGACTCCAAAAATGGAAGTGCGGAAATTTCAGAACTACTTTGGTGTCGGTGCAATATGTCAAATAAGTGAAGAAATTAAAGCTAGTGAAGGATCGAAAGTTAAGAGCAATATGTCAAATAAGTGAAGAACTTAAAGCTAGTGAAGGATCGAAAATTATGCGGGATAAGGTGGGCTATGAGAAACTAGAAGATGAGAACTGTGAGGAGTCAGGAAACACGAGACCAAAGTAAATTGCTGTAGCACTCTGCAATAAGAGTTTTTGTATGTTGAACGACCTCGTTGGTATGCCGTAAAAAGTATTAGTAATTCAAATGTTAAATTTATGTCAAATAAAATTGAATGAGAAAATTTAAGACTAAAGATAATATGCTTGCATGTAAGCTCTATATAAAAACATAGGTGACAGAGACTGATGGTTTCAAGCTTTCGGATACAACAAAATTATGTCTCAATTACAGAAGTGTTACTGTTACAATAGGCTCTAATGTCCTCAGCAATCTTTGTAAGGGCAATTCTCATTTCTTCATTTCAAGAAAGTTACTATGACAATTGTTTTCTAGAAAGTTACCATCACAATGAAGACGCAAATACTCACAGGTGATAAGTAAAGATTAATTTGGTAAAAAGTAAAAGGTGAGGTTAATGTGTAAATCTTGTTAGTATTATTCACAAATAATTACATTTGCACTCGAAAGGAAGATTCAAATTCAATTCTATGTTAAATAACAAAAAATAAAATATTTGAAATTTTTTGAGGACTATAGATTAAACGCTTACATATAAGATGCAGTTACTGATTGTTTCAAGCTTTCAGGTTCAACAATAAATTCAAGTATTACCTTGGTTATCCGTGTCAACCTAAGTTCAAATATTGATAAAAAAAAACAAAAAAAACTTTATCAATCAAATGATAAAGGGGAAGCGCACACTAACTTAAAACAGATTAAATTAGATAAGGCGGTGTATAACCGACCAAAATATATATATAGTAATAACAAGTAAAATAACTGAATAATACGTAAAATAACTGAATATTAAACTTGGATTACAAATAATAATTTTAAAAGAGGATAACTGAAAATAACTTACAAATTAATGTAACTGATATATGTCTGAAGTATACAGCATACTGATGTTGTATTACACTCAGAAAACAAACTAAAACAGAACTGAATATTACAACTGAATCTGAAATTGAAGCCTGAAATCTCTCGAATGAAGCTTGATTTGCAATGAGACTGAGCACTGCTTTTATAACCGAGCCTCTACACTGTTAGCGCGAATCCTGGCTTTTTGAAAAGTAACTTTTGCTTTTGACAGCTTTGACTGTGGATGAATAGTAACTTTTAATGTGGATGAATAGTATCTTGTCGGGGTACTGTAGAAACAATGATTCTGCCGACAATTACTGTTGAAATAATGACTTTGACCAGTTACGTAGCTTTCTTGATTTTACTGTAGCAAATAGTAACTTCGACCAAATAGTGACTTTGACTTTTCTCTGATGAACCCTTAGAAAAGATCTTCGAAAGGATTTTGACTGTCTTGAAAGACAGAGTCATCATATAAGTTAACTTGGTGACTTGGAGTAGCAACAGAGGAAGCATCTTCTTCTACTTCCTCATCTCTGGATAGCACTTGAATGCGATCTGTTAATAAAGCTGCCATCTTCTTGAGCTCTTCAAGTTCGGACTTGGATGTATTTTTTCGTGACTTTGTGAAAACAGCAGAACTAGTGGGGGAAGACTGTTTCTATTGAATAACTGTCTTTGCAAGAGGAGTGACTTGTATTTGTGAAGTAACTTGGATTGAGGATTGCTCAGGGTAATCACCTTCAACATACCCAATAATCCTGTCAAATTTGAAAATGTTCCACCATTTGACATAATGGCGATGGATGACTATGTTGTCCTGGATATCATATTGCCATTTGAATATCCACGGAACTTTGTATTTGCTGCAAAATAACAGAAGGACTAGAAATTGGGAACCATGTTTGCTAACTTTGTGGGCAGTGGAAAAGTATTTGACTTCTTCTGTAAAGGAGAGAGGAAGGATTTCTGGAATAGTACCATGAAGAGACCACCATCTCAGGAACCAGGTAGGGATCTGACTTTTGAATTGACTATCAAAATTAAAAAACCATGAATGAGTAAATGACTCATTTTGGTATAGGAGCACGGATGACCAGGCTGTCATGTAATCATAGTAGGTAAATTGGATTGTATGGTCAGGTAATGGCTGGGGTAGGGAAGGATGACTTCCCCATTCTTCCATGGAAATTATCCGACGGATGTAAAGGGAATGGTAAATGACTTTGGAAGAATCATGTTTATCATAAGTAGTCTTGACTGTGATGGAGTTAGTATTGTACAGGATATCTCTATAAAACCGAAGAGTTTTAAGAGGCTGGCTTAGAGCATAGTGTAGGTTGCTTGGGAAATAGGAACGAGCCAATTCAAGTGGGTCTTTAATGTGACTTAGGTGTGGCTTAATGTAGAACAAGGAACTAGTGGGTTTTTCAACATAGGGACTTGAAGGTTTCTTTGTAGTTATGACTTGAACTTGGGGTTGGGTGTGATATTTTACTTGAACTTGAAAGGGGTCTGGTGGAGGATTGACCAGGGTTGACTTAAAGGTTGAAGGAGAAGCAAGAGGTTGAAATCTGTTGGTGACTGCTAGTGTAGAAGATTATGCTTGTGACTGGGATCTGGTGATTGGGGTTTTGCCGGAGCAAATATCAAATGGTTTAACTAGTTGGGGCCTCAGGGGAGGCTGCTGCTCTGCCATCAGATTTCTGCAAGAATTTCCTTGTAAGAAAATCTGGAATAGAATTGTTACTTTCTTTGATATATTCTATATCAAAATCAAATATACTTAAAATAGCTTGCCATCGGATAAAAATCTGTTTAGAAGCAATATTTTCAACATCTTTTTTTAAAACATATTTTGCACTTTGACAATCAACTCTGACTAAAAAATTTTGATTTAAAATATCATCTTGAAATTTACTTATACATAAAATAATAGAAAAAATTTCTTTTTTAATAGTACTATAATTACTTTGTGCTTTTGTCCAAACACTGGAATGGAATCGAACTAATTGTTCAGGTGCATTTGGACTGACTCGTTGCTTGAGGATGCCACCATAACCAATGCCAGAGGCAATCAGTTTCAATTATTTTGAAAGAATCAGTAGTTGGGATGCCAAGACAAGGCAATGACTTGACATAACGCTTAATGGATTTAACTGTATCAGTATGGACAGAGGTCCATAGAGGAGGGTTACTTTGAAGACGATCAAAGAGGGGCTTACATTGCTTGCGGAGATCTTTGTAAAAATCAGCAATGTAATTTAGAGACCCTAAGAATCGCTGGAGTTGTGACTTTTCTAAAATCTGGTCTGGGAATTTATCTGCAAATTGAAGAGACCTATCAATAGGACGAATTTGGCCTTGATAGATATGGTAACCTAGAAACCTGATATTGGTTTGAAATAACTTGATTTTTGTAGCAGAAACAACGAGACCATTCTTTTGAATTGTTGTCAGAAACGATTTCAAATGTTTCCAGTGTTCATCAATGGTCTTGGAGTAGATAAGGACATCATCAATATAAACAATGAAAAAATGACTATAAGGATTGAAAATATCATTTATGATATTTTGGAATTCACTAGGAGCATTTTTCAATCTAAAGGGCATTACTTTCCATTCATAATGACCAAATGGTGTAGTGAAAGCAGTTTTGTACCTATCTTTCTTTCTAAGGCGAATCTGCCAAAATCCTGACTTCATATCAAATTTGGAGAAAATAACTGCTTGACTGAGGCGACTAATAAGATCTTTTTTATTGGGAATAGGATACCTAATCCATTCTAAGACCTTATATAGAGGTTTGTAATTGATAACTAAGCGAGGAACACCTCTTTCTATTTCAGAATTTTTCTGGACATAGAAAGCTAGACATGACCAAGGAGACTTACTCTTTCTAATGATCTTTTTACGTAAAAGATCAGAGATTTCCTTTTTGCAAAATTCCTTGACTTAAGGGCTCATTTGGATAGGCCTTGCTTTAGTGGGAATGTGTCTTCTCCTAAAGCCTTTAATATAAGGTAACTTCACAGAATGTCTTTTTCTATGCCAAAAAGCAGTTGGAAGATCGGAACAAACTGTATTTTTAATTTGTTGTTCAAAATCTTGAATTTTTGTTTGGAGCACTGGGTCAGCTAACTGATCATTAATGCGTTTGTAATTAACTTCTTCCTTCAAAAATGCTAACTGCTGAGTTTTACTTTGAAGTAGGTTTATGGACTTGGACATGGAGGAATCAATTACGGATTTTAATTCTTTCCTGGAAGGAGGACTAAGGAATTTAAACTTAACTTCATGGCCAAAAGGTCGAGTAACTAATCCTTCATTATCAGTAGTAAAGGGATAGAGGAGGTAGATGAATGGAATTCCTAAAATTAGCTTATCGGTCATATTTTTGACCAAGACAAAGGATGTCTTAAAACATACGTTGTTTTGGCAAATATGGGCTTTAGATAACTTGTATTTTATATCCATTTTACTTCCACTAGCTGAACTTAGCCTTTCAGAGGTTTTCTCATAGTATTTAGTGGGTATGAGACCTTCCTGAATGCAATTAAGATCAGCTCCTGTATCGATCAAAGCAACGACTTCAAGCTTGAAATCTTTGTTGATGATAAGGGTAACTTTAGCATACCATTTCTGAAATGATATATGATTTAAAGTTCGGAGTTTTTTAGAAGATTCTGAATTGTCGAAATGCTCAGAGGCATCTTCATCAGATGATCATTTTCCTTTGAAGGAAAAGGCAGGATTTGTGTTTAATTCCTGAATATCATTTTTCATGACTTGGTTTTCTAACTTAAGGGTTTTAATTTCAGTTTTTATTATGTTAATCTCTGTTTGGAGATCTTGAATAGTGACTTCTTTAGGCTTATTATTAAATCTTTCTAAAGTTTTATATAGACTAAAATTGGGTTTACTAACAGTTGGGGGTGCAGGTTCTGAGTTACCTAATAATACCTTAAGTTTTTTAAGATACAAGGTTTTTAACTCAGGGTCATCAACTTTACTGATTAAATCAATAAGTAGATGTTCTTGTTCATCATTTTTGGTGAGAACATTAAGTGACTTAGTAGGATTACAGCAACTATCTTTACATCCTAATGTAATATTAGGAGAGCTGGGGGAAGCATCAGATGACTGTGAGGAAGAACTAACTTCAGGGTCACTACTACTATCCTCAGTATCTCTTAACTGGAGTATGTGATAAATAGAGTCTTTAATTTCATCAGAAATTTGTA